GGGGGAGGGGAGATTTTGAAACTTGTGAAATCCACATTGATACCATTGGGCTGCAGGGTTCCCAAGCGGAATATGAGTTGCTGTTCCTGCAACCTTCGGGTGGCATCGTTGTGGCACTGCAGGAGGCCCAGGATGGACATGTCGTCTGAGGAATGGGAGGGGGAGTTGAAATGGTTCGCGACTGGGAGGTGCAGTTGTTTGTTGCGAACCGAGCGTAAGTGCTTAACCAAATGTTTAGGGACCCCGAAGGAATGTTACTTTTATTTAAATGTCTTTCTTAACAACTCACTGTTTAGCCTATTCCTATACACAATCTTCATACTTTATGTTAACATTCAAACAAATAAGTTAGGAGCTGAAATAGGCCATTTGGCCACTCAAGTCTGTTCCACATTTGAAAACGATCATGGTTGATCTGATTGCATCCTCAGTTCCACATTACTTCTGACTCCAGCATCTGCAGTTCTTGCTATCTCTGATAAACTCTCCCTGGCCCCTTGTTTACCAACAATCTATCCATCTCTGCCTCAAAAATATTCAAAGACTTTACTTCCACCAGTTTTTCAGGAAGAGCACCAAAGACTCACAGCCCTTAAAATGTTTCCCCTTATCTCTGTCTTAAATGAACAACACTTCATTTTCAAACAATAACCCTTAATTCTACCTCCTGAAAGTGATGCCACAGCTCATTCTCATTTGCATATTTACACCAACCAAATTGTCACTACAGCTCATCTTAATTCAATCCATCAAATTTCTCCTTTCATAGTGCACTGCGTGCTTTGCGTACACGAGACACCAGAGAGAGATTTTAACCTCACCCAATTGTCAGGAAACTGATGGGATCCAATCAGTTCCCATTTTACAAACCCATCCAATGAAGTCAATAGAAACAAAAATTTGCCAAGGTGAAAGGTGAGTGGCTGATCAGTTTCCTGAAGGGTGCAATTGATCAAAATTGCCCCTGTACATTTCCTATCAGTGCTTCAGTTAAGGGTCCAAGTGATGTAGGTAGACCCACAGTGCTATAAGAAGACAGATCTATGAACAATGACAATGAAGGGATGATGCCAAGTCAGTATCGTGTGAGACTTGGAGAGGAATTTTCAGGATGTGGCATTCCCATGCTACTGCATAACCTCGTTCTGGCTGGTAAAGGCTGTTGTAAATTATTGTGAAGGAGACAGAGATGTTGCAGTGCATCTTGTAGATAATACACATTGCTGCGGTGGTAGAGGGAGTGAAAACTAAGATAGTAGATGGGATGCTGATAAATGGATTTTTCTTTTTATGGATGGTGTCAAGCTTCTTCACAGTTGTTACAGATACACCCATCTGGGAAGTACAGTATTCCATCACACATGTGACCTGTGTTTTATAAATGTTACACAAGCTTTGGAGAGTCAGGAGGTGAGTTACTCAGAATTCAAAGCCTCTGTCTGCCCTTACAGCTACAGTATTTATATGGAAACACAAAACAGGACTCCTGCAGCCTGCTCCACCATTCAATATGATCATGGCTGATCATCGAGATCAGTATCCTAATTCCACCCTCCCCTCATGTCCCTTGATTCTTTTAGTTACAAGAGCTATACCTACCTCCTTCTAGAAAACTCCATGTTTTGGCATCAACCACTTTCTGTGGTAGTGAATTCCACAGGCTCACCACTCTCTGGGTGAAGACATTTCTCCTTATCTCAATCCTAAACGATTTACCCCTTATCCTTAAACTGTGACCCCTGGTTCTGGAATCCCTCACCATTGGGAATATCCTTCTACATCTAACCTGCCTAGTCTTGTTAGAATTTTATAGATTTCCATGAGATCCCACCTCATTCTTCTAAACTCCCGTGAACACAGTCCCAACCAATTCAATCTCTTCTCATATGTCAGTTCTGTCATCCCAGGAATGCTAACAGTAAACATTCGCCGGACTCCCTCTGTAGCATGAACATCGTTCCTCAGATAAGGAGACTAAACCAGTACAGAAATTTCCAGATGTGGCCTCACCAATGCCCTCTACAGCTGCAGCAAGACTTCCCTGTTCCTATACTCAAATCCTCTCACCTTGAAGGCCAATGTACAGCTTGCCTTCTTTGCCTACTGCACCTGTACACTTACATTCAGTGACTGGTGCACAAGGACCCTCAGGTCTCATTGAACATTCCCCTCTTTCAATTTACAGCCATTGAAATAATAATCTGTCTTCATATTTCTGCTACCAAAGTGGATAACTTCAAATTGATCCACATTAGACTGCATCTGCCATGCATTTGCCCACCTACTCAGCCTATCCAAATCAAACTGCAACATCTCTGCATTCTCCTCACAGTTTACCCTTCCACCTAGACTTGTGTCTTCAGCAAATTTTGAGATATTACATTTAGTTCCCTTACCTAAATCATTAACATATATTGTGAATAGGTGGGATCTGATACCAATCCTTGTAGTATCTCAGTAGTCACTTTTCTTTCTGAAAAAGACCCATTTATTCCCATGGCTGGTCCAATCATGTTTCTGGCCAATGATAGTCCCCAGGACGTTGACAGTGGGAGCTCAGGATGTTAATGCCACTGTATGTCAGGGGAAGAATTGACTCTCTGCCAAGTAGTGAATCAGTCAATGCTTTGCAGCTGACCACAGGTCAGGAGCATACCCTTAGGGTTTGCATGATAGCGAGAGGCTTGATAGGCAGGAACCATTTTCACTGGACTATAGGAGGTTGAGAGACAACCGTATAGAGGTTTATAAATCATGACGGTCATAGACTAAGTGAATGGCAGGTGGCTTTACTCTTGGGTAGGGAATATCAAGATTTGGGGGCATATATTTAATGTGAGATAAGAAAGATTTTAGAAAGACATGAGGGATTTTTGGAACAAATTTTTTTTACACAGACAGTGGTCCGTGTGTGGAAAGAACTTTCAGAGGAAGTGGTGGATGTAGGTACAGTTACAACGTTTAAAAAACTTTTGGATAAGTTCATGAATAAGAAATGTTTGGAGAGATATGAACCGAGCGCAGGTAGGTGGGACTAGTTTAGTTTGGGATTATAATCAGTATGGACTGGTTGGATCAAAGGATCCATTTCCATGCTGTATGACTCTATGATGTTGGACTGACAATTTTTGGGACTGATTTGGAGGCATCAGTTCAGCAATCCCAGAGGGTAGGAAAGGGTCACCACTCTTGGAGGGCAGAATATTCCTGATCCTCCTGGCCCACAAGTTGAAAAGAGACTTGCTTACCTGTTCCATGTAATACTTCTGTTTGGCTGCACTGTTTTCCTGTGGCTTAGGAATTTGAGTTGAGTTTGCTTAATAAAGACAGGCAGTGTCAAGGGAATAATATGGCTTTTAAGAAAATACGTGTTTTCAACGACATCAAATTTTTCAATCTCATCACTTATTCCCTCAAGGATGAGAAAGCATTTGGGATTCTGGAATAATATAAGCTAAAAATAGCAAAGTGCACCCAAACCTTCATCTGACTCATCATCAAATCACCAAACTCTGCTTTAATCTCTTAATCTCTTCCCACTGATGCTGCCAGACCTGCTGAGTTTCTCCAGCAATTTCTCTTTTTGTTTAAGGTCTCCAGCATCTGCAGTTCTTTGTTTTATTTCAGTCAATGTATTTGGCTGCTGGGCAGGAAATAGAATTTTGATGGGGTCCTTCTTGTTTGAAAATGTCCTCAGCTTTGCCCAAGTTTCCCCAAGCTACATTCCTCCCCAAAAACATCTTGGAGTAAAAAGAGGTGTTTTCATTAAATTGAAAATTGAAACAACTCTTTCCTAATTTTAATCATTACCTACCTGATATGATTTAGGAGTGGATATATTAATCATCATAGAATCCCTACAGTGTGAAACAGGCCCTTTGACCCAACAAGTCCACACTGAATCTCAGAGCATCCCATCTAGACCCACCCCCTAATGTACACATCGGGTAATTTAGCATGGCCAATTGATCTAACCTGCACATCTTTGGATTGTGGGAGGAAACTGGAGTACCCAGAGAAAACCCACACGGACATGGGGAGAATGTGCAAACTCCACACAGAGTGTCACTTGAGGGTGGAATCGAACCTGCGTCCCTGGTGCTGTAAGGCAGCAGTGCTAACCATCGAGCCACTGTGCCACCCTAAATGTTTTCATACTCTGCATTTCAACTTATAACTTTTCTTGTTTAATTCCAATTTTTTTGAAATTGCAGTCTCTATGAAACTGCTTTGTTTTCATTCAAAAGAACGAATGTGGGCATTGCAGGCTAGGCCAGCATTTATTGCCTAACCTTAATTGCCCAGAGGGCAGTTAAGAGTTAATTACATTGCTGTGGGTCTGGAGTCACACACAGGTCAGGATGACAGATTTCCTTCCCTAACAAGGCCTCAGTGAACCAGATGGGTTTTTTCCAATCAATTGGCAATGAATTCCTGGTTATCATTAAACTCTTAATTCCAGATTTTTTGGTTTTAAATTGCATTCAAATTTCACCATCTGCCATGGCAGGATTTGAATGCAGGTTCCTGGGACATTTCCTGGACCTCTGAATTAATACCAATAATACCACTAGACCATTGCCTCAACCTGACTGAGAATGAGCAAAGTAAAGCTGGATACTCAGTCCAACTGCTTCATTCTCATGCACTTACCAGAAACCAGGCAGTGACCCTGGCAGCACAACTGCATAAACAGCACATAGGGTGCAAAACCTCAGGTCTGGAAGTAGGCAGGACAGTCAAAAGTGGGAGTAATAATGAGGACAAGATACAGAACAAAAGCTTCAAATGATAATCAATATGAATCATGCACCATTGATGTACCTTGGACAATGTGAGGCTGGTTTCTTGAATGTGCACATTTGATGTCCTCTTGTCTCGCAGTTAGCAGATTGGACTACAGAAAAGATAAAAGTTTAGTGAACAATAGTCGAAATAAACTAAAATTAAGATATTTAAAATATACCTCGAAAGAACTAACCTGTTACTTTGGAAATGGTAAATGAATTGGCAGCTCTGTATTTACTGAAACAAAAGGAGAAATGCGTAAGTTTGTTACAATGCTGAGACTCAATTCATTATCAAGTCCATTGTTGGGCACAGTTATTGAAACAATTCAGTTATAAAATAACTAATTCTGTAATCCCAAAAGTCACTGAGCTTCAGGATGGTATTTGTTCCAAACATGGTCAACTACATATTTACAGAATAGCTGCCTTTAATTGTTTTCTGATTCAGTTGTTAGGTAGCAGCTATGGATCAGCTGTTAGAGCCAGGAGTGTATGGGTTCAAATTCTACTTCAGAATATAAGTATGAATATCAAACCCGTCACTCTAGTGCAGTGCTGTGAGGACACTATACTGAGGAGGGCTAGTGCCTTTGGAATAACATGTTCAAGGGAAGCATTTTGTCTGCCCTTTCAGGTACATATATATATATATATATATATAAAAACTACGGCACTATTTTGAATAGAAGGGGAGCTATCTCCAGTGTTCTGGCACGAGGGACACTGGTTTGATTCCACCCTCAGGCGACTGTCTGTATGGAGCGTACACATTCTTCCTGTTTCTGCATGAATTTCCTCCGAGTGCTCCAGGTTCCTCCCATAATCCAAAGATGTGCAAGTTAGGTGGATCGGCCATGCTAAATTTCCCATAGTGTCCAGCAATGTGCAGGCTAGGTGGATTAGCCATGTGGGGTTATGGGGTTAGGTAGTGGATGAGTATGGGTTAGATGCTCTTCAGAGGGCTAGTGTGAACTCAATGGGCCAAATGAACTTCTTCCATACCGTAGGGATTCTATGGTAAAGCAAAAGTAACGTCACCAAAGTTTGGTTGAACCATAGAGCTTCCCTCTCTGAATGAGTGTGTGTGTGTGTGAGACAGAGAGAGATACAACTGGCAATGATTTAACCTGAGGGGCACCATACTTCAGGCAAGGGGAGACATTGAGAAGCAAAGTCCTTCATGGTAATTTCAGCTGGTGGAGGAGTTGAACCCACATTGATGGCATTAACTCTGCATCGCAAACCAACCATCCAGCCAAATGAGCTAACTGTGGTAAAGTTGTGAGTTGGAGGGTGGCAGAGGTCGTGAATTTAAAAAATGCTGTTGAAGGAAACCTGAAGCCTTGATGTGATACAGCAATATTCCCTATTGTGAGATAGGGCAATATTCCTTAGGGTAGGTGGTATATAATGCAAACATGGTATGTCAGTGGCAAAAGGAGTGATTTTTTTTTAAAAAAGGTGGTGACTCCGTTCCAATCAAGCTAAATGAAGCAGGCAACGCTACTGCTGCATCCTTGTCAGAACCGATATTTTCACCTTCTCACTCAAGGCTGGGGTCTACCCCTTCAATGTCCCATCAAGGGTATCCATTGGTAAGGCCTACATGCATGCTTGTGGAGGCTAAAATGTTTCATCTGTGTCAGTGTAATGCAAACTGCAGGTCCTGAGTGAAACCCAGAAGTGGGAATTCCTGACTCCTCATTTGTTGTTTTGTAGGTGACGTGCTGGGGTAAAAAGATCTATAGCCTTACTTCTTTACCTTCTTTTAATGTTTTATGAATGATGTCCAATTGCAGTCACCAATACTCACCCATATGATTGAACCCCATTCCTATTGGCTTTTATGAAGAATGGTTTCCTTCCTTGTCTGGTAACATCGACCCAGCCCCCTTCATTGTCGAGTACTCCATAATGCATCGCTGCTCTACAAATACTTGATTGCTGAAAGAATGTATATAAAATTAAAGTAAATACTATAAACAAACTACATATTTGCTGATGTATTCTAAAAAATCATTTTTGCAGTAGTTAACCTCTGTATTAATGACAGTGAAAACAAAGGTATACAATTGGTCATAGATGACAAACTAAGACATGAAGCATAATTCTGTGGGGATAAAGAAATAGAATTTGCACTTTACACAGGTATGAAGAGGGTGTATTTGATATTGCTCATTGACATTGTTCTGTGAATGTGAGAGAGCAGTTTGTGCTCATGCCTCAGCAATTAGAATTTGCGAGCAGTCAGCAATATTGTAAATGTTTCCAGTAGAGGAGGGATGAGTGGGTGGAAAATTAGGTACTGGTGATGACAGTTAAAGGTAATCTTAAAAGGAGAGTACAGATTGACTGCTTTGAATCACTGTTCCAGCTATTTGAGGGCTAGTTCAAGTTTTACAGTGACGTTCCTTTCATCTTTGAATTTTGGAGTTGGGACGTTATGTTGAGATTGTACAGGATGTTGGTGAGGTCTATTCCGGAGTACCATATCCAGTTATAGGAAGGATATTATTAAGCTGGAGAGGGTTCAGAAGAGATTTACCAGGACGTTTCTGGGAATGGAGTATTTGAATTATGAGGGGCTGGGGCATTTTTCATTGGAGCAAAGGAAGTTGAGGGGTGACCTTACAGAGGTTTATAAAATCATGAGGGTATAGATAAGATGAATGGCCTTTTCCTTAGGGTAGGGAATTTCAAGACCTGGGACATATTTTTAAGGTGAGAGGAGAAAGATTTAAAAGAGATAGGAGAACAACTTTGTCTTTTACACAGAGGTTGGTTCATATACGGAATGAACTTCCGAAGGAAGTGGTGGTTGTGGATACAATTACAACATTTAAAAGACACTTGGATAGGTACATGAATAAGAAATGTTTGGAGGGATATGGGCCAAGCGCAGGCAGGTGGGACTAGTTTAGTTTGGCATGGACTGGTTCAATCAGAAGGCCTGTTTCCATGCTGCATGGCTCTGTGACTCTGAATTTGTTTAAATTCCACTCTGGAGCTCCTCAAAGAAAACATAGCCTGGAGAAGGAAACCAATTTCTCTAGTGAACACGATGAAAGAATTACAAGACAGTCAGGAATGGTCAGAAATGGGAGAACAAGATAAATGCCAACAACAAAGCACCCAGAACCATGACCTCACAAGAAATGCAGTTATCAGGCAAGAAGTGTTAAAACAAGGCTTTTGTTCACATGTCTCTTAACCTTTGTTTAGCCCCCGGCACCATCCACAGCTGCAGCACTCATAAGCCTTTACACACCTTCCCCATTTTTGATCACAGCAATCACAGCAGCACACTTCACAGCTAACATCTTCTGCTATTCTAGGCACTGATAATATATCCAAGCTGGGTAAAGTAGTCTGGAACAATAACAACCCAAACTGCGAAATTACCAAGCTGCATCCTCAGCGTCCTCCTCTACACTGGCCAGATCTGGAAAACGTATGCTCAACGGGGGGACACTCTGAACAATTCCCAGCTTTACTATTTCAGCTGATCTTCGGCATTTCTTGGCAACAAGGTCACCAACTCAGAACCCTGATGCATTCTAATGACACCAGTGTACATTAATTTTTGGGAAAAAGATTTCTGTGCTGGTTTATCAGATGGATGATACCCATCTATTCAGTCCTTCTATAAATTATATGGCTCATTGAGTCACAACCTTCTCCACTTCTACATCTCAGCTACAAGCACATCTGCAAGCAAGCTATGAAGTTGTCAGATACTGAGACTGACAAGCGGGAGACACTGTCATTAATGGCCATGAATTCTGGAAGTTTCATGTTTAGAAGGGATTGGAAGAGACAAGCAGAAATGGAAAATTCGGCTGGCTGAGAAAAGTGCCCAGAGGAGTAAACACCCAATGAATTCTGCACCTTCTCAGGTCATTGTCTTTTTCTGCAGCAAATGTAACAGAGATCACCATGCCAGGGTGGAGCTATTCAGTCACACCAAGAGATGGTAAACACAGAGCTGACTAACACAATGCAAACCACCATCTTAGAAGATGGAAGACTGACCCCATTGAGTGAGGTCAACTCTCACTCTTCATTTTTAATAGAAAAAGAGGACCCAGCCTGCTAATTGCTTCTAGTAACAGGCAGTTATCCTGTAATGCAATAGTTACATTCTTGTGTGACGTTGCGTTCTAGAAAGTTTCACCATAGAAAACTGCCATAAAAAATTGCGTTATAGGGAAATCACTATTGAAAATCACTATACCCGTACAGCAGAAAGTTTGCGTTATCCAAACAGCATCCACTAATCATTAATCGCATTACAGCCAATTCGTGTTCATGAAACATGCGTTATAACAGAGCTACCCGTACATATACTCACTCTTTTCTGGTATCATGCTTTAAATCTTCACTCCACTCCACCCAGTGCCTCTATATGGTTTTTATAATATGATGACCAGAACTACGCTCAGTTATCTGAAGTGTGATCTCACCAGTGTTGAATACATATCCAATATAATTTCCCTACATTTAAATTCTCCTCATCTGGAAATAAAACGTCATACTTGGCTTGCTTTGACCATGGTAATGCTGACTTAGGGACAACCTTTAGTGATTGGTGTATTGAGAATCCAAGATCCTTTGTTCCTCTGCCTCACCTAGACTTGCTGGTAAGTTACCTCCCTATCCTTCTGAATATTTTCTGATTGACCAATTCAGAGATGTTATTACAAATTTCTAGAGCAGATGGCACTTAAACCTGCTTCTCCTAGCCCAGCAGGAAGCAATCTGTCATTGTACCACAAGAACCCCCTCCCTATGCTTCTGACAAAATATGTTACCTCATACGTATCTGCGTTTGAGTTATTTTGCCAATTATTTGTACCAACTGCAAGATCATAAGTGTCTTTCTGTAGTTTGGTGACATTCAGTAATTCACAATTGTATTTTTGATTCCAATGACAAAATCAGTAATGTAAATTCTGATTAGCAAGTGGTCCCAACATTGATTTGGTGAACACCAGTTGCCACTTTCTATCATCTGAAAAGCAATAGTTTACTCTCATTCTCTTTTTCTGTCTGGAAGCCAACTAGAAATCTATTCTATATAACACAGTGTGGAGCTAGAGGAAC